GGCCCTGCTGAACTCGACAGCTACAGCTCCGTGGGCTTGAGACACCCTGGGATTTCACTTCATGTATTTCAGACAGGCACAAATCTGCCTCTGATGCTGCGGTATGACAAGAAGCTCTGCTGATGAAGGGTTTAGATGGCTAACAGTAATTGTTTTAAGGACAATTTTTTCCACCACAAACTTTCTTACTAACTTTCTACAATGAAATAATTATACTCTCACCATAATCTGTGTTTTCTGGTTCCCAGCAGTTTGAAGGCCAAAAGTACGGTGCCTAAGAAACAACATATGCATTTTTGTAATTTAAGAGATGAAAAACAATTCAGATGCAGAAAAACATTACAAGTACAAAAAGAAGAATCACAAAGTCTACGGCCCAATCTCTGCCCTCAGGGGAAACACTGCCACAGATCTCAGTAAAAGTGAGGAAGCTTTTGCAGGAAGGTATCACATTTAACATTGCCCACTGCAGGTAAATAGAGATGTTGTAATACAAGCATCTCTTGAGGAGAATGTCCAGTATCCTGATAACATTTTAGACGCTGTTGCCATCTCATCTGAATGTGGACCTCTTACCCTCTATCCCCAGAACCTCCTCTTTCCCCAGGAATTCACAGGCACCCTGAATATTTTTTGTTGGTGGTTTTTTTTTGGTTTTAGGAGCATGAGAAACCTCATGGCCTTTTAGATATGCTACACACTACTTGCTTTTTTGGAGCAGCTACTGGTGTGGTTGGCAGCCTACAAGACAACTTACTTTTTAAATATAACAGATGGCAGAGGACAAAACTCAGCTGATTAGAGTAATTCTGAAAGCAGAAGTCCTGCTAAGCTTACTGTTTTTGTTTTCTATCCAGGTCTGCATATTGAAGTTGCTACAATTAATCACAAGATATTACTACATGCGGTTGTATTTCAGTTTTAACATGAAAACTGAATGAATGAAACATGAATAACATTCATTAACATGAATAAAAAATAACGTCCCTGTGATCGCACAAATTACAGAACATTGCTTTGCCTTACTGATGTAATTCTACAAATGGGCATAGGACATTACACACACAAAGACTATTCCTTTCACCAAAGTACAATGAGAAAACATGGAGGGATCAAACAATACAGTGTTCAATGCTCCTCACTGATATATATCTTATGAACTTCACAAAATGATGAGCTACTGTTAAAGGTGCGACTGATGTTGAGGAGAAAGTGGCAAGAAGAGAGTAATGGAAAAGAAAAATTATTCCATCAGGTTTTTTGTGCAGAAAACAGCTGAGGAGAACCATTGCAGGAAATGACAACAGGCAAAGAATAAGCAAAAGTTGCAGGAAAAGATAAGGGAAAGAAAAGTCAATAAGCTGTCAAGACAATTTGATGATATAGTTTACACAGGCTGAAAATAAGGAAAAGAAATTAAATGATACCCTGCTTTTGAAATCTAGCTCCTGAGCGCTGCACAGGACAACTTCTTATGGTGTCATTCTTTTAAAATAGAGAGAAATACAGCTAAATGGGCGATCAGCATTACCCCTGCTTCTGTCAAGTCTTGCATGACAGGAGGAGCAGGACTTTCAGAAAAGCAAGGGAACTGTCATAAAAAAGTCTTAGTCTGAATGATGCCAGGTAACTAGAAGGCGGGGTGAGATAAGGGGAGGTCTGTGATCTCCTGGGCTTCTTTGTTCACTGTGCCATTGGTCTCATATGATAACACAATATCACATTAACGGCAGGACAGTGAGCATGAGCAGCAGCAATGTCAGATGCAAAGAGAAGGACAGGCTTTTCAAATAGAAACTAAGTAAGAGAAAACAAATGTAAAGGAGGAACGGGAGGGTGAACAGAAGAGAGGTCACAGGAAAGATAAGGGAGCTGGCTGGGATCATGTAACAGAAAAACACAAATTCAGCCAGCAGGATTAGGCAGTAGGACTCCAGGTCTGAACTTATTGCCTCTTTTAAAGTTATATAATCTGTCCAAAAGGAGTGTTGCAGCATAAGCACTCAGTTATCTAGGAGGCTGACAGCAGCAGTTTTTGGAAAAGGCGTGGAACTCAAGCGCAGGATGCTTTAAAAATTCAACACATCTGGAGGTACAGGGACACTGAGGGATAGAGATGTCCCTGCTTAGGTGACTGCCAAGGTCATACATCCTCTGTAAAAGAGCCAAAGCCTGAAGCTTGCCCCCTCTCACACCAATCTGTAACCAAAAGAGGATAAAAATTTGAATTTTCTGCTGTGCCAGAGCTTGAATGCCCAACTCCAAAGTTTGCCCTGGTCCATTTTGCACAGGAGGGTGGCTACTCAATTCTGTGCCAGGGTTAGAACCTGAAAGTCATTTTCTTTCTCCTGGTTTAATTCAACTCTGAGTACAACAGCACTGAAATCACCTATGAAAAATAACCACAGGACATATCAGTTATTCATGTAAAAAACTGTGAGTCAGAAAGTAGAAAAGAGTGATTTTGGATTCTAAAGCAGATCTTCTTGAAGGGATCTCATAACCTCCTAAGACCTCTACCAAGATAGCCTCAATCCCTGGCTTCATAGATTTAACAGGTGCTTAAGGATAAAGGCCGGGCGATTTCAGCAGTATTATTGCAGGGACAGTAGAAGGGGCCGCAAGGAAGGCAGAGGGATCACCAACCTGAAAACGATAGAACGTCCCATCATCTTTCAGGGTAAGGACGTGGTCTGAGATTGGGAAGACATAACCCTGTGCAGCGATAAGACTTCCGAAGTGTATCGCTTCCCCTGTGAAAGAGAGAAAACAGCAGGGATGTGTCAGGAAGACATGCACTGCACACTCCTCTACTTTCAGCAGTGGCCCTGGCAATGACTCGCACAAAGACCTGGTGCACACATGCCTCCCCCTACCCACACCGCATCTTTACACCTTCCAACCAAACTGCACAAAGCAGGAGAGCAGAAATCAGCCTTCAATACAGATGAAACACTGCTCAAATATTTAACCTGCTGGTTTTATGTTTACAAAATGTCACACACCAGTTCAGCTCTAGAGACTGAAATTCAATTTAAAGCACATTATCCACCACAGGTGACAGCTGAGAAGCCTGTTCCATCAGTGAACCCCACTTGCCGCTATCAAATCTGACAAAAATCTGCAACACCAGGTCATTAGCAGCATGTTTATTCATAAAGACAAATCCTGACACTGTAGCATTGCCATTTGTTAGAGGAAACAGTGCTGAGGTAAAGCAAAGCACGTATCCAACAACTGCCAGGGCAACCTTCACCACCGCAGAGGTACATCTGCACAGATTTTCAACCAATGTCAGCTGTCAAAAGCTGCATCAACTTTCTCAGAATTGTAAAATACACATCAGCTGCTCATGCGCCCCCAGGCAGATAATAAAGCTACTGTCTGCAGCTGAAATTCAGATTTGGGACTTGACTGGACTGATGAGAAGGGACGGGTGTATAGGGATGCCCTGGGTGAGACAGCACTTATCTGCTTTTACATGGTGACAGTAGGCAGCAGAAACAAACTGGGAAGTGAGATGCTGGATTTTTTTCCTTTCCAGAAAAGGAAAAGAAACTTCTGGACCTGTGGATCTTTTCTTCCTCTTTTCCCAATAGTTCTTAACTGTGCCAAAACAATTTTGGTTTCTCTGAAGAGTGAACTATTTGGACTGGGCCCATATACTGATCATTGTTTATGGCTGATTATCCATTTATCTATCTGCTGTGATAAATTAGCAGCCATCATCTGATCCCGTGATGGTGTCTGTGTCATCCTTGGCCAGTATGTCTTGTCAGTCATGGCTACCTTCCTCCACATGAAAAACTGTCACTGCCTTTGCCTGCTTAACCACGCACATCCACCAACTTCCTTTGTAAGTCTGGGAAGAGCCTTGAAATCAATCAGGCTTTCTTAGGTAGCAACAAATTCACCGACAGGCTAAGACTCCTACAAAGTGCTTTCTGTGTGTTGCAGTGTAAGGCATTAGACTTAATTAAGATGTTGATTCTTATCTCTTTCCCTCCTCCTTCCCTCCAATGCTTAAATCAACCTTGTTGTTCTACTGGTATTTTAGACTGCAGCAAAATAGTATCTGCTGTCTAATGGCACATGTAATACAGATGGAGTATCTGTTTCTCCCCAGCTGTGGTCACCTTACCTGGATCCTCAATGCTGAGGTTCTTCATAAGCCACTGCACAATATCAGCACCTTAAAAAAAAAAAAAAAAAAAAAAAAAGTGAAGAAAGCATTAAACACTGAGACCACAAGGGTTGAGAGCCCTAAAGAGAGATAACATCGAGATGGATACAATAGAACTGACATGAATTTTATTCCATTTTCCTTTTTATCTCCACTGAGGTTTCAGAATGTTTTTCCTTCTTGTGCCATGCTGTAATTATATAGTTACTGAAAGCTACTAAATCCTAAAATACTAAATACTAAAGTATTCTGTGTGATAGCAGCCTTGATACTTTAAGCCAGATATTACTCTAATGGTTCCATGTAACTTGTTCTCTCCCAGTTGCTTCTCTCTCACCTCAGCATACAGGGAGTTACGTTTCTGCAAGCACTAGCTAGCAAGGAGACAAAGGAGCATTTACTGGCACCTTGCCCCTGTAATGTCAGAGGCAATAATTGAAAAGTACAGAACTAAGCTATCAGTCAAAAAAAGACAGAGGAAAGTCTCTTGTGTCAAAGACAAGCAATGTCTTGGAGAAGGAAGTGGGATTCAGTATGCCTGTGACCAAGGCACTGTTGAGCTCTCACCTGCTAGTGATCGCACCAGCAGCATGGTGGCCAGGAGCAGAGAAGTGAGTCTTTAAGGCCCATCAGGTAGTTTGTTAGGTTTGCAGGGCCCATCAAGCAGTACAAAGCTTGTCGTTATCTTATAAACAGCATAAAGATCTCTAGGATCGATCCACTGCATGTATACAACCTCTCTGTTGCTCACATGGAAATCACAGAAGCGGAAAACTTGTCGCTGTTCAGTAGAAGCTAAGGCCTTTTATCAAAATACAACATGACAAGGCAGCAAAATTTAGTTAAACCCCATACTCAGAAAGTTAAGCTTAAAATGAAACATAATGGTCGTACAAGTCAGCTAACATGACTTGTCCAAAGTCAAAGGCAATCAGCAAAGGCACTTGGAGGGAATTTAGCAAGTCCATGCCAAGTTATGGCAGCTTGCAGCACAACCTAACAATGCCATGCCTGGATGCAGACATAACACCAAGCCCTTCTCAGTGTACAGTCAATTTGTTGAGAAATATTTGCATTCACATACAGTAGGCTAATAGCCCCAGTAACACTTACTGCTATGCTTTGTGATAGATAAGTTGAAGATAGCATACAAAAAGGAACTGATCAACCGTATGGTTCAGGCTTACTAAACAAACCCCAAAGGATCTTATTTGCATGGAGCACATCTGAGTTTAGGCATGGTGGGTACTTCAAGAAACAGCATAACCCACACGATGCCTGTTCCAGAAAGGGTCTGAAGAACATCTTGTTTTCCACAGGCCCAGAGCACACCCTCAACAAACCTTAAATACAACAAAGGCCAGGAGTCACAAGTATGATGTGCCACAGAGAGAGAGAGACAACAGGCACTACTAGTGTCCCAGGTCCCTGCAATATCTTCAGGTCTGCGTGACTCCCCCATACAGGTGAAATTCCCACTAAAAATGTGGGCTCTACTCCACGCAGTAGGACAGCAGCTCCAGCTCCCCCCAGCAATGCAGGTTGACCCACAACTCTGCAAGGAGCACCAGTAAACCCTCTTCAGTCAGGCTTCAGCGGCGAGAAGGAATGTGGGCCTGACCTCCCTCGTCCCCCACCCAAGGCAAGTGAAACAACTTACTTGTCCCCCACAGGCAATCAGCAGAGCTCCTGAAGATCAGGGAAGCATCTGCTTTTGCTTAAATACTGGGCAAACAGATGTGACCAACAAGCAGCAGCTGGGCAGTCTCAATATGCCTTGTAGGTATCAACAGAACAGATACTAAAGGATCAATCTCACAAGCTTGCATTCTCAGCTCTACAGTCACTCTCCATACCTTCCAACTCCACCTAAAAGAAATTTAAATTGCCACTATCCTATTCGGAAAGTTATTCCAGAACCCTTTTTTTCTTTTTTCTTCTTCTTTTTTTTTTAATATAGAACTCTTTTTGTAACTTCCCAGCCTAAGTTTATTAATATGCAATTTATATGCATTTGATATCATACCTGTATTATCATTTAACAGAAAGAATGATCCTTCATCCTTGACAGTTCCTCCAGAAAGCTGACATGTTGCCTCCTTACCTCCATTTCACTAAACCAACCAAACTCTTAATCTCCTCTTAAGATGCTCTCTCCCTCTACTTTATCATTCAGCAACTTTTCAAATTTAAGTTCCATTTCTTTGCACTGGGGTCACCAGAACTGCAGGCAGTACCTTGCAGAACATCTAACCAATGCCTCTGGCAATGGTGCCAGCACTTTCCTGTCTCTACTGAAAACAGCTTGCCAGGTGCATCCTAAAGTCACATCTTTTTTTTTTTTTTTTTTTTTTTTTTTTTTTTTTGTGAATAGTAAATTCATTCAGAAAAAGATGTCTGAGGGGTCCAAAACTACCTGTCTAGATGAGAACACATTCAGTGAACCCTAACCTGAATAACATATGGGGAAAATGTTCAGAGCCAGTAACTGTTGTTTTGACAAGCTTCTAATAAGATATTCTATTTTATAAACATGAATGTTCCCTTTGCCTTTTACAAAACGAAAATATCCTAAAGATATAACAAAACATTTGAGGTTAGAAAAACATTTCAAGAAGACTCAAACTGAGGTACTTCTGTATTGTTAGAAACAAACCAAAACCTGACAAAATGCTGTCTTTGTTCACGCTGAACCAGAATCTTTCTTGTTTTTTCTGTTCATGCTCCAAGCTAAAAAGTCCACTATTTCTCCTGATTTTGGTCGCAGATTATAGGCTTGCAGTGATCTCTTAGGCATCTTATTGCCAAGTGATGTGACAGCCCATATCTGAAAATCATCTAGAGTAGTGCATTGCTTTGCTCAAGGGAGGTGAAGTGCATTCTGCATGATCCCTTTCCAGATATACAGGAATACTTAATGCAGGATTAAGTCCCACTCCATTTTTACATAGAACGATTGTGTCCCCAGTGCTATGCCTCTTTTGAGGAATCTATTCAATTTTCATCAAACTACAATGAAAAATTCAAGTAATGCTGAAAGCTGGTTCCCCAGTCTTTCTTCCCCCTCTTATTAAGATTAAAAAAAAGAAAGGTTTAAAGGGGTGAGTAAACTGAAGGCACCGACTCAATCAGAACTTCTGTGATCAGCCACTCTGGAATATAAGCAGCACTTGAGATCAGGGATTTTAATTTGTCTCTGTTAAAAACATGAAGTCATTCCTGAATGTTGCCAAGAGCCTGGAAGATTTTATAGTTGTTCTCCAGTTGTCCTGAGGCAGACAGATTATCTTTCTGCTGAGTTTGCTGAACCATTATTTATCACCTGCCAAGACTGATTACTCACCCTCGGGACAATGACAAGTCTTTCCTTCCTCTGTTAATTACTGTCATCATTAATAGCCATGTCACTAATTAATATTCAATCATAATGAAAACTCTTTACTGCCATCTCCCACAACACCTTCAATTTTTAGGGTTACCCTCACACATTGGCTTTGCCTCTGCTTGTGGTTCTTTCTATCACTGTAAGCTACTTTTGCCCACATAGAAATACCACTTACGCCCTTCCTCAAACAAGAAAATTCGATTTATCCTTATAAGACATGGTGAAGACTTGAGTGAATCATTTACAAGACTCTCCTCTGTCAGACCAAGACACAGATTCCTTTATCATTAAGTTTTCCAGAAAACTTCATGTTAACCTCTCCTGTAGGTTAAGCCCAACAGACGGTCCTCACGTAACTCACCTTCCCTAAAAGATCTTTTCTGGCTGGTTTTCAGATTCCACATTTCACAAGCTCTTTCAGAGGACACCTGAGGGAAACTCTTGACCCTGAACACTAGTTTAGTTTCCACTAAACACTAACGGGACATTTGAGATCTTCTGAAAACAAATAGTTAGGCGTTTTCATAACAGAAAGTGTTGCTGGATCCAGGTAGAGGAATGGCTCCCATCTTCTCTATGCCCCTCTCCATACATCTACATTTCCTCTGAGCCAGTATACTCAGTTCAAGGATAGTCAACGGCCTGTGAACATCTATTTCCTCCTTGCCTATAATAAAATATATCTTTTTGCTTTAGGCTCTTCTTTGAAGCTGAAGTAGATTAAGTTGCTTAACGCCAACAGAATAGCTGTGTTTCTATGTGCAAACATTCACAATGACCATTTATCCAGCTACATGGTTTAGAGACAGACTAGCAGTTTTCTATTTCCTGCTATTTTCCCCATTTTCTGTTCAGCCTCAGTGATCCCATAATAGTAGCTAGTGTTCTCAGAAGGCCATTGCCTGTCAACATGACAAATGAGTGGCCAGCCATGAAAAGATAAATTAAAAAAAAAGTTCACAAGGTGTGAGGCCATCTGCAAGATGCAGTTAACAAGGTGAGTCACCACCACTGTATTTGATACCTTTTCTACTCAACCTAAGTTGTTCTACCTCTTTCAGAAAATCCAGTACTTACTTGGAATATGTAGAGCCATCTATAATCAGATTTGCCCATCTTCCACACGCTGTATGAAATGGCAAAGGCAGACAGAACAATGCACCCTGCTCCAGCAATTTCTAATGATCTGCTGCGTGGAGTGCAGACTGTGCCTCTGGTTGTGGACAAAGGAGCCAGGACCACCGGGGTCTGCTTGTTGTCCAGTGGACTGGACATGTCCCTGACAAGGCATACATATGTACGCACACACACACACACATGTATACAAATAAAAAATACAAGAAACTTTCTGAAACTTCAGCAAATGTGCATCTTTGCATTTCTTTTTAGGCCTGATAAGACAACTGCATTTTTTGGTGAGTGTCCTAAGATGGCGGAGCTGGCAAGCACCGACGAGTGGAGCTCCACAGTGATTTGACATGGGACATCTCATGTTACCCAGGTGTGGCATCAGTGACTGTGGTGGGTTGACCCTGGCTGGATGCCGAGTGCCCACCAAAGCCCCTCTATCACTCCCCTTCTCAACTGGACAGGGGAGAGAAAATTTAACAAAAAGCTCGTGGGTCGACGTAAGGACAGGGAGATCACTCAGCAATTACCGTCACAGGCAAAACAGACTCAACTCGGGGAAAATCAGTTTAATTTATTACCAGTAGGATAATAAGAAAGAAAACCAAATCTTAAAACACCTTCCTCCCACCTCTCCCTTCTTCCCAGGCTCAACTTCACTTCCGATTTTCTCTACCTCCTCCCCCCGAGAGGCACAGGGGGACAGGGAATGGGGGTTGCAGTCAGTTCATCACACGCTGTCTCTGCTGCTCCTTCCTCCCTCAGGGGAGGACTCCTCACACTCTTCCCCTGCTCCAGCGTGGGGTCCCTCCCACAGGAGACAGTCCTCCATGAACTTCTCCAACATGGGCCCTTCCCATGGGCTACAGTTTGTCACGAACTGCTCCAGCGTGGGTCCCTTCCACGGGGTGCAGTCCTTCAGGAGCAGACTGCTCCAGCATGGGACCCCCACGGGGTCACAAGTCCTGCCAGGCAACCTGCCCCAGCGTGGGCTCCTCTCTATCCATGGGTCCACAGGTCCTGCCAGGAGCCTACTCTAGTGCAGGCTCTCCACAGGGTCACAGCCTCCTTCAGGCATC